TAATAATAATAATAATAATAATAATAATAATAATAATAATAATAATAGAATACAGACAGATCATCATTTAAAACACAAAACACCATATATCACAGTCATCAAGAACCAAAGCGTACAATTTATTGATATCGCTGTAGCAGGAGATACCAGAGTTGAAGAAAAAGAACTAGGGAAAATAAATCATGAAATAATGCAACCTGGCCATTGAAACTACCCGATTATGGAGGAAACATGTGACAGTGATACCCACTGTCACCGGGGCACTTGGCACCATGTCCAAGAATTTTACACAGTACATCAAGAAATTGCAGCTTCCTGCAATACCATCAGCAGAACTGCAAAAAAAAACCTGTGCTACTCAGAACATTGCATATTTTAAGAAAATACTTGGTTGATACCAGAGGTGGTATTCAGCAGGTTCTGACCAGTTCTGAAGAACTGGTAGCGGAAATTTTGAGTAGTTTGGAGAACCCGCAAATACCACCTCTGACTAGCCCTGCCCCCATCTATTCTCCGCCTCCCGTGTACCAATTGTATCTTCTTTTGTTGCCCTGCACAGGAGAATGGAGCTGGAAAGCAGGTTAGTGGGTGGGAGAAGGAATAGAGATTTTGCAGTATCCTTCCCCTGCCATGCACACCAAGTCACGCCCACTAAGCTACACCCACAGAATCGGTAGTAAAAAAATTTGAATCCCACCACTGGTCAACACCTAGGATGTTGGCAGCAACCCATATCAACCATCAGTGCCAGTTAATAATATTTGTGATACATTTTAAATGCTCAGTTGACTGAGTTTCATGTAACAGTTAATAGATAATCAGAGTTGGAAGGGACCTTATAGGTCATCTAGTCCAACCCTCCACCCAAGCGGGAGACCCTACACCATTTCTGACAAATGGCAGCCCAATCTCTTCTTGAAAGTCTCAAGTGATGGCACTCCCACAACTTCCGAGGGCAACTTCTGTTCCATTGGTTGATTGTTCTCACTGTCAGAAAGTTTTCTCCTTATTTCCAGGTTGAATCTCTCCTTGTTCAGTTTCTATCCATTATTCCTTGTGTGGCCTACAGGCGCTGTTTAATGAATAAAGTAAATAATAATAACAACAACATAATAATAATATGTTCCCAGCTCCCAATTTCTACTTCTATTATCCAACCAGTCATAAAACAAATCCCATATTTGAAAATATTATGTATCTTCCTTTTCTTTTATCTTTAATGTCAGTCTATTTATTTCTGTGCAATCTAATATTTTTTTAATTACATCTTCTTCTCTCTGAGTTTTTTCATTTTTCCGATATTGTGCAAATACAATTCTTGCTGCTGTCAAGACATGCCATATTAAATACAAATTCCCTTTATTATACTGTATTTTTCTGGTACTATCTCTAACAGGAATATTTCTGGCTTATAATCTATATGTAGCTTTACCATTTTTTTCTAACCATATATGCATTTTTATCCAGTAATTCTTTGCTTTCACACAAGTCCATTACATATGATACTACGTGCTTGGTGTCTGATTACATTTCCAGTATTTGGCAGACAAATTTTTAAACAGCCTTGCTAATCTTGCCGGTGGTAAGTGCCACCTGTAAAACATTTTATGGCGGTGAATTTTAACGCGCCCAGGAAGATCTTGCAAGCCATGTTGCAGAATTTTGCAAGCAAGGATTTGAAATCTGGGTGGATGTGGGGGTCCCCTTGTGGGTGAGTGGGTGAGTTGGGTGGCAAACCCTGACCTCTTTTTAAGCCTTGGTCGCCTTGCTCCACTCTGGATTGGTGTAAGGTGGAGAGTTGCAAAGGATGTGTGGAACTCACAGGGGCCGTGTGGAAATTGTGTGCAAGTGTGTTTGTGAGCGTGTGAGTGTGGGCAGGAGGCAACAGTGCTCTGGTGAGATCTGTGGCCCAGACCTACTTTGGTGGGCACCATTCTTCTCTCCTGTCCCTAACCAGAGATCTCCAAAGTTGACAACTTGTGGACTTCAACTCCAAGAATTCCACAGCCAGCATGACTGGCTGGGGAATTCTGGGAATTGAAGTCCACAAGTCTTAAAGTTGCCACGGTTGGAGTCCCCTGCCTTAGCTGATGGCTCACACCATTAGGAAGTTCCTCCTGATTTCCAGATTCTACGTTTCTCAATTTTGGCTATGTTCAGATGTCTGGACAGACTGGGGAATTCTGGGAGTTGAAGTCCAGACATCCGAATGTCACTGAGTTGGCGAAACACCGTCCTAAAGAGATTCAAACTTTTCTCGTTTCCACTGTAGATTTCTATCTGCGAGGGACCAAGTCATACAAGTAGACAGAAAACAGACACACAAAAACACTTCCAGAAGGTGGGAATGTTCCCCATTTGCCAAGACAAAGCCTAAAGGTTTTCGACTCAGCTGATCACCAGATCTGGAAACGGTATTGCTGTAACAAGCTAATGATGGTTTAGGTCTGCGTTTCTCAAGCTTGGTAGCTTGAAGAATTATGGACTTCAACTCCCAGAATTCCCCAGCCACCATGGCCAGCTGGGGAATTCTGGGAGTTGAAGTCCACAATTCTTCACACTTCCAAATTGAAAAATTCTGGTTTAGATCTTCCCAGGACATGACTCTCCTGACACATCTTCCAACATCTGAAGCCAATTTGGCGGAGGTAAAAAAAAATCCATTTTCAGTGAGCCCAACTCTCATGAGCAGTGTTGGGATTCCACATTTTGTCCTACCAGTTCTATCATGAGAGAACGCATTGCACACTCGCGCAACACTAAAAAACCGCCCTGTTGAGCTGTAAAAAACAGGTGAGCTTTTTTTTTAGCTCAGCTGAGGTGCGGCGATCTGCTCTGCTGCGCAAATCAGGTGAGGTAAAAAAGAAGGGACTATAGCAGGGGTCCCCAACCACCGGTCCCCGGACCGGGAGCGGTCCGTGGATCATTTTTTACCGGGCCGCAAAGCTTGGGTGCCGCCATCTTGTTTTGACGGCGCTTCCGGGTTTTCGGTTGGAAAGTGCTTGCGGGTTTTCAGTTGGAAAGCGGCGTTTGGGTGCTCGCGCCTTAGTTTTGTCGAAGAGGGTGGGGCGGCTTCAAACGAAGAGCCATCCAGATGGCGGTGGAGTCTCACGTTACTCAGGTACCGGTCCGTGGAAGAATAAATAATCGTGAAACCGGTCCCTGGTTCAAAAAAGGTTGGGGGCCACTGGACTATAGGACAGGAAAGGGGGGG